TTCTATGAAGAATGCGTGCCCACCTGTGTTTCAAAACATTAATATAATATAGCGTAACAGTAATGAAACTAAGAAGTTGACTTTCGAAACACTAAAATTTAAGATTCTGGATAATATATATTAAAAAGCGAATGGGAAAACCCAACAGAAAACGGCCATATAATGCAAAACAATTTAAAATTAAATCGGAACAGTAGACTTGGCCATTGTCTTTCCTCGCTTGAGAAGGAGCGCACAAGTTCCACTAGGCTCGTTCCCACAGCCGTCGATTTTTTCCACTTGACCTGATGTCAAAGGTCATGAAAGCACCGAATGATAAAAGAACCGTACGTAATGCTGAAAGGGCCGAAAGGTAAAACTAAAAAGCACCAAATGATAAAAGATCCGTAAATGTGGCGAAAGCACCGAACGTAATGATAAAAGCACCGAACGTAATGTTTCAAAGCACCGAATGTAATGTTAATAAAAGCACCGAACGTAATGTAAAAAGCACCAAACGTAATGTAAAGAGCACCGAACGTAACGTGAAAGCACCGAACGTAATGTAAAAAGCACCGAACGTAATGTACAAAGCACCGAACGTAATGTAAAAGCACCGAACGTAATGTTAAAAGGGCCGAATAGCAAATGCGCCGAACGGAAAAGAGCCACCAAAGGCAGTAACGACGTTCCATTATGGAACGCCGTTAGTATCTTCGGTTGTGTGCAAACACTCTATTATGTGTAAACGCCATTACGTTATGTGGAATGGTAATTATGATATGTGGTTTGGTCATGATGTTATGTGGTTTGGACATGATGTTATGTGGTTTCTCATTATGTTATGTGGGTTGGTCATGATGTTATGTAGTTTGGTCATGATGTTATGTGGTTTGCTCATTATGTTATGTGGTTAGCACATTATGTTATGTAGTTTCGACATGACGTTCGGATGTCCTTGCGGAGTATGTAAAGAAGTGTGAATAAGAAGACGGCTGTACAAGTAAGCCTATATCAAGTTTCATTTGAAACTTTTGATTGGGTAATCAATTTTATATAGCCGGAGTTAGTTTCGAACTAGGCAAACCTTCCTAAAAATGTACACTTTCTCCATCAAAAGGCATTTTCTATGAATGGAATGACCTGTTCGAAGCACGAACTCCTGTAGACCAAACCCGGTACTGTTACGATTTTTAATCGTGCAGGAAATCCACTCACTATGTCTTTTTCTTTTTTCTCTATATAGAGGCCTGAATAATGAGATAAAATTAAGTACTTTCTAAGTAATTGAGTTTAAACTGATTTTGTTATTGTTGCACATCTTATACGGTTGTGCATCTGTTATTTAAGAGAAGCAATAAAGTTACTTACTTACTTACTTACTGATCTTTTCCAGAGGAGAAAAACCTTGAATTTTGAAGAACTTAAAGGTCATTTTGAAAAAAAGCTCATTTCCGGTCTAGGAATCAATTTTTTTCGATTTGAAGCACCCTCTTTCAAATCATGGATCCGCCCCTGATTATTATGTGGTGGTAATACTTCATCACAGACAGTGCCTGGGTCACTAACAGTTGGATGGATGATTTTGTTTTCTCATTTATCATGTAAATCCGGGATTTTAAGGTACCAGTATATCAAGGTGGATGTTTTCCTCATCATTTTTTTACTACCGTACTGTTTTATACATTAATTTGTTTGACTGAAGAGAAAACGTTATATTTACACGTTATATTTACATACCAGACTGAGGAAGGGCTGGAGAAAATAGTCATAGTCAAAGCAAACACATCATTAACTATATGTTCTCATTTAATAAGAATTACATATGCCGAATACCAATGCATGGATGGATGAATGTTTATAATGAATAGTCGTCTTCCAGTATAGGAAGGCCTATAAAATATTATTTTTCTTATAAACTCTCAGGCTTTTTCTTTTATCAACATTCAAAATACTAGCGTGATTTAAAGTAAACTTTCTAAAAACCAACAAAATATATAGCATATTTTCCAATAATGTTACTCTTATAAAGTCTTGCCTTTATATTTCGTTTAAAAACGGATATAACAATTAGACTTTATGCACTCTTTTCCAAATACAGGTCTTAATTACTTTTTTTATATGCTGCCATCACTCATGCATCTACAACAGACGCTAGGTGCGTTTGCCACATACAGCGGATCGGGCGTCACGCTGACTCGCGTGTATTAAGAATAGCAGTGAACTCTTCTGTTATATACTCTTTGCTTGTATGAAATAAATCTCTGGCGCGGTGGTAATAAAACTAGTGTGGTCTTCCCGCTCGCTCTCGGCCAATCAAAAGTTTAAAGTGAAACTTGATATAGGTACTTGTACAACCGTCTTCTTATTCACACTTCTTCACATACTCGCAAGGACGTCCGAACGTCATGTCGAAACTAACATAATGTGCAAACCACATAACATAATGAGCAAACCACTTAACATCATGACCAAACTACATAACATCATGACCAAACCACATAACATAATGAGAAACCACATAACATCATGACCAAACCACATAACATAATGACCAAATCACATAACATAATGACCAAACCACATAACGTCATGGCGATTGTACATAATAGAGTGTTTGCACCATAGAGATATATAAGAATACTAGAGCGCTAACTGCAATGTATTCGATGTTCGAAATACGCAGAGCTGTGTGTGTGTACCATCCAATATGGCTGCCATAGATTTAGCCAATCAAATTTCGCCTAAGCCCCCGCCCCCCATCATTTGCAATTGCGCCCTCAATTTACACAGAAAGTTCAGTACAGCTAGTTATCCGTATGTTTGAAACTCGAGCGTTGCGGTGTATGGGTGTAATGTACACGATTTTAATTTTCGTTCCTTGGTTTTTATTTTTGAATAAGATGCTCCACTTGGCCTCGTTTTGGCTACAATAGTTTAATAATTTGTTATTACCATTACTCATTATCATTAATGAAATAATAGTCAGTTAGATGGCTTATTTATGGTAATAATATGTATACTAAGCCTGAAGGTGGCGCTTTACTACGGCCATCTTGGATGGTACACATACATAACTCTGCATTGCTTCGCCATCTTGTCAGCACTCTAGTTGTTTAATAGCTATATGGTTTGCACATAACTGAAGATACTAACGGCGTTCCATATTCCATAGTAGATCGCCATCTATGTTTTCACCATAGAGATATAATAAGAATACTAGAGCACTAACTGCAATGTATTCGATGTTCGAAATACGCAGAGCTGTGTGTGTACCATCCAATATGACTGCCATACATTTAGCCAATCAAATTTCGCCTAAGCGCCATCATTTGCAATTGCGCCCTCAACAAAACGTTCAGTACAGCTAGTTACTCGTATGTTTGAAACTCGAGCGTTGCGGTGTATTGGTGTAATATACACGATTTTAATTTTCATTCCTTGGTACTTTATTTTTAAATACGAAGTGTCTATGCTTACGCCGAGTCGTAAGCATTAATCATGGGCTATGCTTACGCTGATCTATTTGAAGGGCGCCGCTTGCTTCGTGAGTACGAAAACGTCCTATTGAGCATGTGCAAATACACTTTGCTTCTCGGTGGCACTTTCACAAGCTATGAAAAATTGTCAGAAGCTGTATCGAATTGGGAGAAAGAAAATCACTTAAATTTATATAAACGATCTTCAAGTAGCATCGATTCTGCCAAAAAACTAGCCTGTGTTCCAGGCCCTAATGTTAGGTTACTCACTCTTTATTGTACTTAGTGCGCGCCATACCTAATTTAATTGGCGTCCCATACTCGATTTCTTTTTTTTTTTTTTTCGAATTAGGGCCTGGGCAAACGATTCATGCGTGCAATTTCCCACATCAAATTTTATGTGGGATATCGTATGCATGACTGATTATATAAATCACGTGATTGGCTAACTTCATGCATATTAA